TTTATTATAAAGTAAAGTCTCCTATGAAAACGAACGCGGATGTTTCAGACATGTCCACCGATTCTTCGGCTGCACGGGGAGAGCACCGTGTTGAATTACATTTAATCTTAGTTAAGAGGAAGGATAAAGAGAAGTCGAGAAAGAGTGGTTAAGAAGGTGGTGAAGAAGAAGAGTAGACCTGAATTATCTGTGTATAAATATAATCGCGAGGGCAACGAGAGAGGAGAAAGGCGAAGCAATTGACAATTCTGTGGCGTTAATAAAGAGCTATATTATACTCATCCGAAATGCACAACATCATAGAGAGTCGGAAAAAATTTGATATAGAAGTCATGTCAGTCTAATTATATTTCTTGTTATATTATATACATATATATATTATATATATATTATATCATATTTTCCAAAAACGAATTATATATATAATTCAATAAAAAAGAAGACACTCTCGTTTGATAATTTGCCAGCTCGCATCAATTATTTTATGATCATGTTCGAGACACTTCCGTGCCTTAATCACCTACTCATAGTCTAAGTAGTGGAAAGCGTGAGATGGAGGAATATTGAGAATATAGTCTTATAGTTATCAGTTTTATTAGGTTTTTTTCGTTATTTACACAAATTCGTTGTAGATTCTTTTGACAAAGGTCCAGAGGAACATTATGGGAGCATCGGAACTCGCGTTACCCCGTAACGCGAAGAAAAGATTCTATACAAGCATTTTCATCCCCAATGATCACTATGAACCAATGCCATGGCGCGGCGAGAGATCACGCGCGATCCGTTCGCCGAGCGATTCCAACCCTCGACAGAAATTCCGCGGGACCCATGGGACGATTCGAGATTATTGCACTTTTCGAGGAATAACACTAAGAGGACTGGAAGCCACAAGTTTTCTACGTTATCGTATCTTGAAGTACAAGAAGAAATAATTATATTTCGCCCGTGAGTTACGAAAACGTAAATTTATTATTATTCGAAGGCTGCATCTATGTTTTTCAGGAAATACTAAGAAAAACACTGGAAAACGGCATTGATCTCATATCATTCGTTAAAATCTATGACAAGCCGATATTTTCTATTCTACATCGATTAAGAAGATACTCTTTTTAAATGATATTTTGCAACGAAAACCTCAAACTATTTCGAAAAAATTTCCGAATTCAATATTTTATATATAGATATACATATAACAATCTGAATTTTAAAGATTTTAAACGTTTCAGATATTCAAAGGGCAGATTTTATAGATGTTCAAGATGTTTGAACGTTTCCCTATTTCAAAAAAGGATTTAAGCACTCATCACTAACGACTCTAACTCTAAATCGGCTTTGCTAGCCTTCGATAAAATCCGTAAGCGTTAGCATTGTTTCATTCGACACGTCAGGGTCCATCCGGAACAGCTGTCGCAATACATTATCGTTTTCAGAAAACTACTTATACCACAACACTCCGTTCTTGCACGGTAGCATAGCTTGACGAGTTAACGAGTTACGTTACGGGTGTCGGTTTCTCTCTAAATGTAAAATTTTACGGTCATGTACCCATCACCACGTTGGACCCAGTTACGCGACTGCGTTGGCAGTAAAGTTTCTTTGTCAATTAATATCTAAACGCTTTATGCTGCCACGACGTCGGTATTAATGTTCTTTTGTTGCACACGCGTTTTCCTACGTTAATCAGATCCGACAGATTGGATTTATGTCGGAATCATTTGAAACGTTCATCTATCGTTAGAAAATACACGTGTTCTCTAACAATTCAGAACCTGCCGACATTGGAGCAGCATCCCGTTTCAATTAGACTAATTAACATTAATATTTAAGCGTTATAAATGAATTACAATCAGATTATACCGAGCGCTGACATATCTCGCATTCATTCGAGTATCGCATCGTCGTGGACGTCGGAATAATGTATAGGTATGTAATCTTGGATTTTAATATTGACTCGTTTCTATGATAACTATAAAATTATGATTATATCTTGCATTTTGTGATAATTTCATCGTCGTGGATGTCGGAATAATTTATAGGTATGTAATCTTGGATTTTAATATTGACTCGTTTCTATGATAACTATAAAATTATGATTATATCTTGCATTTTATGATAATCCATTCATACACAGCTTTATCGAAAACTCTGAATAATCGGTACATACACACATCATATTAGATTACGTTCTTTTCTAATTTTCTTTAAACTTTATCGCAAATGTTAGTTGAACCGTTGCTATTATTAAATGAAATACCATTCCATCGATATTCTCCAACACATATTATGTCAAGTATATAAATGATTTAAATTTCATGCACGCATATACACACATAAAAAACACATATACATACTCACGTAAATTGTTCTCACTCGAGAGAAATTCAAAATTGAAACTGCATTGGAGCAAAACGCAAAAGTAGCAGCGTCGGAAGTGTCAACGATTGCACGCGGAAATCACTGGAGTATTTGATTGAATTATTTGAGAAGTTCACGCATAATGTTGACTTGAACTTAAATCTAGCTAAAGTGAGTTCGCACGCAGCAATCGAATAAATTGTCGAGAAACAATTGCGATTGGACGGTGCTTTCGCGCGCGTGTGTTTAGTGCGATAGATATGTGTTAGGTAGGACAGCGTATACCGGACTAGTGTACAGTATAGTATATTAGATATATATTTATATATATATATATATATTAAAATGATGTAAAGATCTTTCGACAAAATGAGCCATGTCGGTTCGTTAGACATTTACGAGCAGTATAAACGATAAAGATAAATTTCGCTTAAAGTATAGAGCTCATTACACGGACGGAACAGTTACTACCTCAAGCATGATGATTTGCGAATTAGATCTCAAAGCGAGAAACTTGCAATTCCAAGCAGATCTCAATAGTACGTAGAAAACAATAAACAACATATCTTCCTTGATAAAAATATAATTTTTTTTCTATAATATTGCTTATAATACTTTATACATTTTTATTACATAAGAAATTTTTTAATTTTTTTATCTTTTAATAATGTGAAATATGCCATTTATCTAGCTGAATATTGTGCCATCAAAATTGAACAAATTCTTCATTACGCGTTTCATTTTACGAATTATCGAGACTGTTGTAAAATTTTTCTACTCGAAAGGATGTAGAAACATACCGAAGGAAGAAGAAATAGAAAAGATTGATATACAGAGTCGAATTCTTCTATCTCGTCAATTCCTTAATTACCTTGCACCGTTAGCTGAGGATGTTATGCGAAACGTCGAACGAAGTACAGCAGTACATCAATAATTGAGCAAGAGATCCGCGTTTCGTTCGTTTCGCCTTTTCGAACCTCGTGCACACAGTGACTTCGCCTTGGAATCGATCTCGCGTCGAAAGCAACTATTCTAATTAATCTTCGTTGATCGAGTCTACCCGAGAAGACCCCCCCCCTCCGAAACCTCACATCATTACAGATTCCGCGAAAAATCCGCAGGGTGTAGATCTTCGGATTAGGATAACTCGGATATCTCAATCTCGCGCCGAACGAGGCGGTCTTAGCTACTGTGGCTGTAAGCAGTGTTCGTGTAAGGTCCACTGTAAATGGACGATCCCGTCGTGGACACGCTCTTGTGTCGTCTCTTGGCGAGCAGTACCAAGATAGCAGCTACCACTGCCAGCATGAGTATGAGACCTGCGATGGCAATCCCAATAGCGAAGCTCCTCTGCGATATGCAAATGGTGTTCGGGTCGTCGATAGCCTAAAAAAATCCGGAGAACAACATAATGGGGATAAAAATTTTTGACAGAACGCGAGATACAATAAATGCCAATCTACTGTAATATTTTACTTAAATCTACTGACAACAAATTTATTCCTAATATTTTAGAATAGTAATTGAAATAAATGTCAAAGTTGTTGATTGAATAAATTTGTGGAGTCAATTTGTGAAGTTGGCACTGCTTTTTCCGCGGAGATAAATCTGAGTTACCCTTTCTCTAAAGACATCGTCGGAGAAGTCCGCTTTCGAACCAACGTCCGAGGCTTCGTTGACATAAAGACCGCTGTAAACCTCGATCGTGGCTGGGGTACCGTCCAAGCCTTCGACACCCTTCAACTCGTTGGCAGTGTCCCTGCGTCGTCTGGCTATCGAGTTGCACAACGGCGGCTGCAAGCAGAAAATAAGCGATGACCATTTGCGGCGAGTCTTCGAGAAAATGATTGGCGGCGGGCTCCAGCGTATTCCTTGCCAGGGTCAGACATTACATAATATCCCGCGTGCGTTTGTATAACATAGCTTGGTAAGCAAGTTCAATCGGATAATCGTGGCAGACGAGGTAAATGCCCCGATATTTTCGAACGATAGGTATAGGCTATTATAAAATCGTTAAAGGATTATTATAAACATAGTGCTTAGTGCGCTCTCCCATTATTCGAGCTAGCTAACGCTTATGTATCATAATGACGACAGTACCGTATTACTGCATCCTCCGCCATGCTTGATGCACAGCCTAACGTTGCACTGATAATACACGCTCGCCGTATAAGGGAACTTGTGCGCCTGAAAGTTCACCCTGGCCTCCGTTTTGTCCTCGTTGTACGTGAATTGTCCCATTATCTCGCCGTCGACCGGACAACTGTGAACAAACAAGCCAAATGATTTCATCACAAAAAAAAGGAAAAAAAAAAAAACAAACGGATCGATTCACGTCGTGATCGCGCGCGTCTTTTTGTTAAACTCCTTTTCTCTTATGTAAATCCTTTCGGTGTCACGAGATGACCGTCGATGGCTTACCCCTCGTCGTTTATGAGTCGCTGCTCGCCCCATCCGAGACCGTCGCGTACCAGGCAATCGGAGATCTTCAAGCCGAACATCTCTTGTTTGTCGATGCTAATGACCAGGGTCAAAGGATCGCCGATCTTCACATTCTCCGCCACATGATGCTGCGTTGGATCGCCGCTAAAGATCTTCATCGTGCATCCCGGCATCGGCGCGGTCGCCTGTGGGCAGTTTACAGTTTAAATATTTCAAGACGACTCATTTACCTCTTTACGTCGACGTTTGCTTATCCGTCCGTCCGTCTGTCCGTCCGTCCGTCAGTACGGATATTTACGTATGGATGAATAATACAGATAAACGCGCCGATATCCTTTGCGGATTAACCGCAAAGATATCGACGTACATTCGACCGGGGTAGGTTTCAACAAGGTTCACCTACGAGACATATATAACGTTTTAATTGATCAAAATAAAAAAATGTCTAGATATCTCGCAACGAACGCCTGGTTACCTGCAACGGCAGAGACTGCATCATGGATACGTGGGTCTGATCGTTCGTTACGACTTTGTCGCGCGTCTGGTATCTGCATCTCACGTGAAAACCCCTGCCCTGATTCGTGACCAGCTTTAGGTGTGGCTGTACCACGATAGTGTTGAAGTACTCGATACCACCATCCTCCTGCAAAACAAAGGCGATGGAACCGCGTATGAGCGAGTAATCTTAAATGTGCCGTTATAATCGCCGTAAATACCATAGGAGTCCAAATAAATGTCGTCAGATATATGGTATCACATTATTTCTATTTTCCATCCATTCTTTATTTGTCTCTCTACATATTTTAATTTTATCTATTTTGTTTGTCTACATATTTATTAATATTAAATTAATTTCAATTCTAATCTACGACATTAGAATCATATAATTTTCCTCACAAAAGTAAAAAAAAAAAAAAAAAAAAAAAA